GTTATTATTATTATTGTTGTTGTTGTTGTTGTTATTATTATTGTTGTTGTTGTTATTATTATTATTATTATTGTTGTTGTTGTTGTTGTTATTATTATTGTTATTATTAATAATAATAATAAAAAGCACATCAGCATAATTTGAATGTATGAAGGAAATCTGATCTCAGCCCTGAAATTGATCATAAATCAATCTTATAATCTTTTATCTTATAAACTTTTAATGGCACTTTTATTAACGTGGTGCTTTCCACGTCCCACAGAGCAACGAAGCATGTGCTGCTGCAACACTGCTTAAAACAGAAAAGGATTCCTCAAAGACAGACAGCTGACCTGCTGTCCATTTATTGACCAGCCCGTCAGCACTGCACTGTAAACATGGGAATATAACCCAGACTAGTAGCTGTTCAGTTCAGTCAGCTGCTACGTATACGTACACAAACATACACATGAAACATGTTTTAATGCAGTAGAACTTGTTCATAGGATCTTTAATCTATAAATACACAGTAGAATGTACAGGCTGCAGAATATGTAAGAAATATACGATCAGCAGTAAGATCCAGTCATTTGGTGACTGAGCACTACAGAGCACTGTGTTTATCAGCAGGGACTTTTTCCACTCATCCATCCGTCCACCCAGAATCCTCCATCTATCACCCAGCTGGCTTTTAGCGAGGTGCTCCTTGGTGCTTTGGACTTCACACTGTTCTCTCTGCGGTGCGTTCGCAGACGCGTCCAACAGACTCGCTCAGCGTCGGGACAGATCGCCTCCTGCGGAGAAAGGAAACAGTGAGCCGGTGTTGCATCTTCACCGCTACTCCGTCAAAGAACTGAACACGTTCAGCAAACAGAAAACTGCTTCCTGTACAGGATGACAGATTGAGACCCAGTGTGTGCAAAGACTTCTGGCTCAATTCTGAAATGAGCCTGATGAAACTGAACTCTATTAAAACAGGTGCAATGTAGATGCAGATGTGTAGAAATGATGTTATATGGATTCATAGGCGCGCGTCTGTGCGTGTGTGTTATCAAAGATTGATCGCACCAACGGCCAAAGCCATCAGATGTAATGTCCACGGAGGAGCAGCACTGGGGGTGGGGTTCTACGTCGTATGTGGCTCCATCCAATTAACTGAGGCGATCAGCCATGCTGATGAATGGAGTACAGCATAATTGCTTCAGAGGTGGGACCCTTCATTAAATCATTTATGACGGGCAAAGGTGAGCATATGTGTGTGTGTGTAAATCTGCAGGAATGCTCGTGTCAGTGACCACACGCTTGTGGTTCAGCCTGGTGGTACTAAAAACAACTGTGACATGAAGGCTGAGTCTTTGAATTAGATATGTTCTTCCCATTTCCAGCCCTGTACTTTCATTCTTGGACTTTTGCTTTCTGATTGGCTGCTTGCTGCAAACAGAAGGTTAGAGCAGCACTTTCACTTTGGCTCTGTTTCTGTTTCATTCCACAGCAGTGCATGCTCCTCACTGAACAAGAGTGAGGTGGTTTCTTAAAATGTACAATGTGCACACACACAGTGAGAGAGAAATAACAGCAGACCCGTCTAATAAGTGTTTTCATGTAAATAATAGTTTGTTTTGTGTTTTTTCCACAGACAAACACATTTTTCTACGCCACAGATTTAACCCACAAGTATAAATGCTCTCTCAGATGAACTACCAAACACAACACATTGCACCGTTTCATTATTTATTTACCAAAAGCTGAGCCAAAAACAAAGTCCACCCTCTCTAAAGCCTTCAAGAGGGTTAGAAGCAGCCAAGAGATTGAATGCACAGTCAGGTGAAAACATCAACAACTGTTGCTGCCCATCAATCTGGGAAGGGTTCAAGCCCATTTCCAAACAGTTTGAAGTCTTATTCTACAGTGTGAAAGACTATCCAGAAGTGGACGTCCCAGCAAATTCACTCCAAGGTCACAGAGGAACTGCAGCAAACACAAGAGCTCATCCCGGCAAGAGTTAGCATGCTCAGCTTTAAAATTCACCACATTATAAAAAAAGGCTGAACAAGTACGACTTTTTTTGGAAGGAAAAAATAAGATGAAGGAATACAACAATGTCCTTTGGACAGACAACACCAAAGCAGAGATGTTTGACCATAAACCAGCATATCAGCACAAACAGCCCTAATCAGCTGTCAAGTGTAGCGATGATTTGGAGTTACAGCCATAGGTCCTGGGTTTCTAGCAGCCTAGCAGCAACACCTCTGTATACCAAAGTATTCTAGAGAACATGAAGCCGTCAGCCTGACACCTGAAGTGTGACTGAAACTGGGTCCTACAACAAGACAAAGGTCCCAAGCACAGCTGCAAGTGTTCAACAGAACGGCTAAAAATGAACAGGATCGAGGCGCTGCAACGGCCCAGTCACAGTCCAGACCTCAGCCTAATTGAAATGCTGTAGCGGGACCACAGGAGAAGTTTCTATAAATAAATGCATGCCTGCAAAGCTCAGTGAGCTGAAGCATGTAAGGAACAGTGGGCCAATGATGTGAGAGGCTGATAAACAAAGCAAATGATTACAACAAAGTATTATTGCTGAAGGTGTTCTACAAGCTACTGAATCACGAGATCACCTCCCCTGCCCCGCAAGCTGGAGAGGAAAACATGGACGACTGACAGCTGTTCTGCTTTCAGAGCGATCGTCCCGATGCAGCCTTCTGCCTTGTTTTAATATTAGATACCAAGTCTGATGCTGAGAGGAGGCTAAAGGACAAATGGACACAGACGGTCGTCACAGAGAAACTGCAGCCCGGCTGATAACCTGAAGCCACAGACGGACGTCACTGTTGTTGAAGACACTGATCATTAAGACACCAAGAATCAAACTACAGGATTATTAAAGTTTCCACTGTGGGTGTGCCACGTAACAAAATCTGTGATGTCATTCATGGAGGTAACACCTGCTCTCCACGTTAACAGGTTTCCACACCACTGATGATAGCAAAAGTGACATCACTGATAGAGGGTGTGTCCCAAACTCGCCATGAGCCTGAAGCTCCACCTAAAGACGAGTCTGATCCAGAAACGCAGGGGAGCTGCTTCAACTGTGACATCTTCACAGGCACCGAGGCTTTACTCTTCAAAGCTGCCTTGAGTTTGATTACAGAACAAGAACTCCTCAAGGACAAACTTGAAACTCTTAGTTGCATTCAAAGTAAATTATTTGCACGGAGCAGTAACTGCTGCTGGTTTCTGACATGCAGTAAGTTTGGTTGTAGACTTCAGACTGTTTAGATTCATCCAAGTCTGTTCGAATGAGTCCAATAAATATTTACAGACAGAAATCATCTCTGTGGCAGCGGGTGTGCTTTCAGCTCAGCTGTAGGGGGAGAGGTGGAGCTGAGCTCAGATAGCAGTGCCAGGTGGAGTTGATTGGCACAGCAGCCACTCTCCCGCCACAGAGGAGACCCCGCCCCCCCGCCCCGCCCAGCACGCTACTCAATCATTCAAATTTAGTTCTTATTCGACTCTGATCAACAAATTTGTCGTGAATTGTGTCACTAAGATGAGTGATACGTTTAAGGCGTTCCTCAACCCTTATGCCATAGCAAAGGCCATATCGCCATGACAACCATGCTGGCCATTTATATGCTCAATTCTCTGGCAGTCATGAGATCCTAGTTCATAGCTTTCATTTCAAGTTTCTTTGCAGGATGAAGTCAGAGCGGAGAGGACGATGTTTTCTCGTAGTGACCCCGCTCAGCCTGATATTCTACCTGTTTCTTTCTCAGGCCTGGTTAAATTAGTCGACCTGATGAAACAACATTTTATTACCTGCATCTTTTTAAAAATAGCTTTTCCTTTTTGGCACATTTTTAAGGACATATGACATCACAGCTATGCAGATGACATTCAGTTATAGATCTCCTCTAAGCCCTGCGTTGTTTTAAGCTGCAGGTCTTTTAAAACCTGGAAGGCTGACCACCTTGTTTAACTTCATGAGGAGGAAAGAGACGTCCTCCTTTGCACCCCTGACAGATTTCTGTGAACTCCTGGTCCCCATATTTCTGAACCTTGGGGCAGCTTTTGACTCACTTTGGATGATCAGGTTAAATCTCTGGTTCGATCTTGCTCTTTTATTCACTTAAGACACCAGGCCAACCTGAGCTCTGTTGTGTCCTGCTGTGAATTAGAAGCTTATTTCATCTCTTCTCAAAATAACCTCCTTCAAACATCAAGTGTTCAAAATGCAACTGCAAAGTACTCGTGTCTCACTCACGTTAAGATTCTGGTTGTGACTGTTGGAGCAGCAGCAAACGTGTCCATGCAAACACCCCTGCAGGTTCCTGAGGTCTAACGATCAGGTTCTGTGCTTCACACAAGGCTGAGAACTAAAGGAGACAGAGCTACTGGCCCTCCAGCTGTGTCTTCATTAGTTCTCCTTTGTAAGTTGATATCTTGAGCTGTATAAATAGAAATGTACTTATATGAAAAACTTGCTTTAACCTTTTAGGAGCTGCAGCCGTCTTCATACATGCTCCCATATTTTCAAAGGCTCAAAAGTAATTGCACAATTAACTGCCAAGCAGTTCCAAGTGAGGCCTGATCTCTCCTCACTCTGTGACAAATTAGGCAGAGAGACCTGTTAGTGACTCTCGTGGCTGTATATAAGCAATAGGTCTAACCTAAACCTATTTCCTCATTACATCATGGCAAATTAAGTAGATGAAAGGTCAGCAGCTGCTTCCAGGATTGAGTTTGCATTTGGTGGCTGTGCTTGGGAGCTCATCATTACACTGAAAGCAACAACCCAGGTCTAATCAGAGAGATCGGAACATTTGGTACATTTTTATAAAGCAGGAATGCAGCAGTCAGCTCTGCAACACCCAAATTCCTGGAAGATCACAAAAGACAACTGAATTCTTCCCTTCATAATATCTATCCAAGAAGATGCATCATTGCTACAGTGTTCTGTCAAGACGCAACTTCATGAATGAAGTACAGACGCAAAACGCTGATAACGCCCGAGGACAGAAAGACCGGATAAGACTTTCCTAGAAAACATCGAAGAAAGCCTGCCAAGTTCTGGAAGTTTCTTTTAGGAATATGAACTTGTAGCAGAGAAGAGTCTGTCAAACACAGTGGAGTGTTATCACAGCCAGTGGAAGTGGGTCAAGGGTGTTTATTCATGACTAGGTGTTGGTAGAAGTAGCAGGAGGAATTCTGAAGTATCGACAGCTTTACTTTCTGCTCACAGCGAATCAAAGGCTGCGAAACTGGTAGGACAGAGCCTGGCAGTAAAGACACAGCAAAGCAACGGCTCCTGAAGGTAAAGACATTTCCTCGGACGGCCACAACAGCCTTTAGTGGGCAGAAAGAGCCACAAAGACACAGCAACTAACAGTGGATCCAGTGAAGAAGAAAGTCCATCGGCTTTACGGTTCAAGCACTACATGCCTGTAAAAGAGTTTCATTTAAGAATGAACAACAAGGGAAATTTAATAAATCTTAAATGTAAGGAATGTTTTTCAAAAATCTCTTGAAATAAAGCTGAAAGTCTGTCATTTATTATATCTTGATTGCTTCCACTGGTTGGTGGTGTTTACAGGAGACATCTGAAAATGACTGCATGACTGTCCTGATGTGTATAAGCCTGGATGATTGGATGAAACTCTGACTTGTGGAGGCCGGTGTGCACTCGTGCCTGTATGAAAAGTTTTGCATATATTTAAATCTCACACTGACATGAGAAATGGACATGCAAAACCATCAGCCCCATTATGCCTCACCTTGGCAGCTGGTGCACTCGCAGCTGTGTATGACTGGCAGGACAACCGGCTCGCTCTCTCCACTCTCACACTGCAGGCTGAGGAAGCGCACCGGGGTGTTTGGGTCCAGGCGGTAGCTGCAGCACTCACACACCGACTGGAGATACGGCTCCTACGTGGAGAGAGTAAAAAGAAGAGAGGGTAACTAAATGTTGGGGGCAGAAAGAGAAATAAGACCCAAGAGGGTGACTTGGATATGATGAGGGCAAACTGAAATCAGAGCAGGGGACGGTTTTATGAGGAGATCAGGGAAATAATAGGAGGTAGAAAGTGAAACAATCAGAAAAGAAAGTTTAAATGAGGGGAAAGAGTGGGACTGATAAGGAAGGGCAGATGCCTCCCTCTATTCTATGTGATGGAAGATTACAGTGTAAGAACTACAGCATATTAAGGACAAAAAATGAACGAATGCCTTTAAATGTTTCTGCATAAATAAGAGTAGCAAAGAAAAGCAAACCCAGTTAAACGTATGACCCGTGTGCTGAGGTGAGTCTCTTTCTGCTTCACTTCCTGTGAGCCCACAGACAGATGCACTAACATTTGACTTTGCTGCTGTCATTCAGTCCTCATCGCTCCATCAATAAAGGTGAGCTGTTGTGACGGCGATGAAAAGCCCAAATCTTGGCCCTACCATGGCCGTGTGTGACTGATGGGATGTGGTTCCAGTGCTGTAATGCATGTTTCTTTTCTCCACACATCACTCTTAGCATCTAAACCAAAGGTTTTCTTTAAGACATTTCCACAGAGCATTATTCACAGAGACCTCTGCCTCATCTGTGTGCTCTGCAAACAGCAGATGGGCAGCACAGCTTTTCTCCTTGTATCTCTGCCACCTGCATTCACGAACATGAACATTTGACACTGTGAGGCAGGTCTAAGCTTAGCTTCTTATTTTGTAAACTCCTGCATCCCTGTTTGCTGCTGGGCTGATCTGTGGTGCTCGACCATGCTGAGGAGGCTAACAGCATTCTTTAATTTCCTTGCTTTGCAGACAGTCTGTCTGACTGTGAACGGGTTGAGTTCAAAGTCTTTACAGATGGTTTTGTACCCTCTGCCAGTCTCCTCAGCATCTACATCTATCGTCCTTCCTGAAACATGCTGTGAAGAACAGTCTTTGACAGATCCCTGATCTTTACGTAAAACAGGGTGTCCATGGACTCCTCACTGAGGGCTTTAAAAAGAGCATTGATACTGATTACAAGTCAGATTTTTAGTTCTCCAACAGTTCCAAAGGAAGATCTCATTCAGCTGCTACATGCGCCACAATGTTTCTTCGTTGGATCCGTGCTTACTCTCCCTGTCATTTAATACACTGTGTTCATTATCGCCTAATCAGAATGAAGAAAGAGCTGAGCGATGCTAAGATGTCTGTGATACACAGAAACTGTTATCTCGTGGTTGATCTCTGCATAACAAGCCAGTGTAGTTATAACATGGCTTAATACTGTAAGCAACGTGAAATGTATAATAATAATAACAAGAGCAAGAAAGATATGTTTTACTTCTTTATGTCTTTTTAAGGTGGCTTACATGACAAACTCAACTGATAACAAATAACAGAGTCAACAAAGATACATGCAAAAATCCTGAAATTTGAGAATAATCGAGCCTCGTTTGTAACTCAGTGAAAGAAGGTCGCCTTTGGAAGCTGTGTTCATGCATCCAATTAATGCAGACAAAGCCTGAAGGAGACTGTGGAAAAGTACAGAGGACGGTAGCAATGCATGATACATAAAAGGGGAAGGAGGTAAGAAAAGTTCCTCTGAAGAATAGTTATTAGTACTTCTCACACACTTTGAAAAGTCTACAGTGTGTGTGTGTGTGTGTGTGTCCGATAAGTCAGCCGGTGATGGGAAACTTGATCACTGTAATGAATTCCTGCTTCTTCCAGTCGTGCTAATCAATGAGACGGGGACTTCACAGGGTTGCCTAGTCATCGGTTACCATCCCCAGTTGCCACAGTAACGGGAGGTAATGACACATTTGGCCGAGCTGATGTTTATTTTTACTGATCTCCCAGCATGACTGACTCTATTTTTACAGTGGAGACGCATAGATGCCAAGGAAGAACAAAGTCACCATGGTGATGAGGTGATAAGCCTGCTGTCTTACAAGGATGAAAAAGACAGAAAACCAAGAATGAAAATCAAAGAAGAAGAAAAGATAGAATCCCTCTACCCCTGCACAAGATTCAACACATCCATCTACTGTATTTACACCCTGATACTTCACATATTATATCTTGTATTTCTGTTTGCCTGCCTTCAAGTCATCAACTGTATGTTTATCTTTAAGCACAGATGTCAAATGCTCAGCTCAGGATGCCATAATTAAAGACAATTCTCTCGCATCAGTAGAAAAAACAAAATAGAAAATGAGATGATCTCATTTGCTAAAGATGATACCCTGAATCATGATTTTATTAATAGTTTTTGGGATTTAAAGGGACTTAAAGGGCAGATGCATAAACTGTACATAAAAGATGGCAATAACTGGTTGCTCTTAAAAGTAAAGCCATTAACCTTAAACCCTCATGCTTTGTAATGGCCTCCAGGGGGTGATTCCCCTGGTTGATGAAAACATGGGAAGTAATGAAGTACAAATACTTTGTTACTGTATCCCAAAAGGCTGATTCTCTCAGCTGACTGCAGGTTTCCCCAACCTTATAAACAGTCTTCGATCAGTAGTTGTTGATCAATAGTCAATGCAATTTGCATATTAATACAATTATAAATGAATTGGGTTGCACAATGCACAAAGAGCAGCAGGTCAGCTGATCACAGCCTGTACACTAAGAAAATCTTCCCCCACCTTCTGAATCCACTTTAACCCCTGACTGTGCACATTTTCCTGTTTAGAGGAAAAGTCGCCCTCTGCAATGTAGCGACAGAAAACAGATTTATGTTTTTTATTTTGCACAAAAATAGAAATGTCCTCCAAAGAGCTACTCTTACTTTCTTACTTTGAGTACATTTCAGAGTCTCTACTTTTTTACTTTT